TGGGACTTGTTACAGTCGGAGAATTGAAGCCAACTTTCACAGGAAAGAGAGGGTTTCGTCTGAATTCAAGCATCAGGCATGCCTCTGAATGGTAAATATACACATGTTCCAAAAACCAGTTTAGTGAAAATGATTCTTGTGTTTGTCTGCATTCACATATTTGTTTTTCAGATTCGATGATAGAAAAATCTGTCAGAAAACGAATAAAAGATTTGTTTCTTTCTTATGAAATTTTAGCTAAAGATTCAATCTTGTTACGTGATGTGAATCTGTAGCCACAAGTCATTTATTGTTATAGTCTTACTACTGTTCATCAAAACCAATAATTTCTCAATATTATTTTTGTATCCATGTGAAACATATTCGTACATTAACACTTCATCTAGTTCTGTCTTCATTTGAAAAAAGTTCGATGTAGACATAACCTTTCAAAGGGCCCTTATGAACTAAAAATGTCTACAAAACCAGGAAAAACTAATCCCATTTTCGACGATAAAACTCACTGTTTCCTTATCGTAGAATCTTATCATTGGAGAAGTCATGGAATGCAAAAGAAGTTCTTACGTGATCATCAAATTCAAGTCCACACATATCTTTTGATTCACATAATTCACAAACTCTTTTGCTTGTTGACAAATCTCATAACCCTTGATGTCTTTTTATCTGTTTTCGCAGGCCGATTTCCGACGTCTCTAGTGATCTTACAGTGCAAGTTGGATCTTCGAGTTTCGGTCTTCATAAGGTAAAAAAACCTAACACAATAACCCTAGAAACAGAGCATCCTCTGTTCTTGAGTGTATGAAGTTTCAAACTTTTACATTATTGTTTTGATTTTTCTCAGTTTCCACTTGTGTCTCGGAGTGGAAAAATCCGGAAGCTTCTCGCGGATTCGAAAATATCGAGTATTTGTCTCTCGAATGTTCCTGGAGGACCAGAAGCTTTTGAGCTCGCAGCTAAGTTCTGCTATGGAATCAACATTGAAATCAACCTTCTTAACATAGCTAAGCTCCGATGCGCATCTCATTACCTAGAGATGACAGAGGATTTCTCAGAGGACAATCTCGCAACCAAAACAGAACATGTTTTGAAAGAAACAATCTTCCCAAGTATTTCGAGTTCAATCATCGTTCTACATCATTGCGAAACCCTAATCCCAGTCTCTGAAGATCTCAACTTGGTAAATCGGTTAATCATAGCTATCGCCAACAATGCCTGCAAAGAACAGCTAACCTCGGGTCTTTTAAAGCTCGATTACACGTTTTCGGGTACGAATATCGAACCGGAGACTCCATTAGATTGGTGGGGGAAGTCGTTAGCTATTCTGAATCTTGATTTCTTCCAGAGAGTTGTCTCTGCGGTTAAGTCTAAAGGGTTAAGACAAGACGTGATCAGCAAGATTCTGATCAGTTACACGAATAAGTCGCTTCAAAGTCTAATCGTTCGAGATTCGAAACTCGAGAAAGAAAGGGTTATTGATTTGGAATTGAAGAAGAAACAGAGATTGGTCGTGGAAACAATAGTGAGGTTACTTCCTACGCAAGGAAGAAGAAGCTCTGTTCCGATGGCGTTTCTTTCAAGTCTTCTCAAAATGGTTATCGCAACATCATCGTCTGCTTCTTCAGGATCATGCAGAGCGGATCTAGAGCGAAGGATCGGTCTTCAATTAGACCAAGCGATCCTCGAAGACGTCTTGATTCCGATAAATCCTAACGGAATCAATAACACAATGTACGATATTGATTCGATCTTGAGAATCTTTTCGATATTCTTGAATCTT